TTTTAACAATTTGCTGACAAAAAAGTGATTTTCTGAAGTTGGGCAAACAGACAGACAGACATACCGATGGACGGACATAAAAAGTGATTCTGAGCAGATTGTGTTACAAAAATCAGCACAAACTCATAATACCATAGTTAGTGTTGTAGGGTATACAAATCTAGTTTCTTATACATATGGGACAGACGGATAATGTAAGTGATTCTGAGACCGATTGATATACTTTAAGGTGGGTGTAGAAACAAATACTGTTAAGTGTTACAAACATCAGCATAAATGCATAATACCCTCCCCAATATAGTGGTATAGGGTATACAAATCTAGTTTCTTATAAATATGGGTAAATATATGACAAACAAATAGATGGACGGGCAGACGGACAGACTTACAGATGGGCAAAGAAGAAAGTGATTGTGATTCGGTTGGTATACATTAAGGAGAGTGTCGAACTAATACTGTTGGATGTTACAAACATCAGCACAAACGCATACGCTTTAATATCCTTTTTTTACTTCAAAAATCTCTCTTAAACAATTTGGCATCATGTTAATCGAATAAGCTCGGTTGTGGTAGGAAATTTTCTAAACATTTGTGACTTTTGAACTTTTGTGGTATTTGCATATAAGAAATTAGTGCAAATAATAAATTGATATTTAATTACTTACTATAACTGCTGACTAACTAATTTCGAACTATTTTTTATATAACATACATATAAAATAGCAATTAACTATTTAGTTTAAGCAAATATTTCATATTTTCAACTCAAGGTTTTTAAAAAGGTTTTTAATTTTTTTAATCTAAATAGAAACCTAATCAAGTTATTAGTATAAATAAGTCGTTGTATTGTTAAAATATCAACAGTTCTTATAGCAAGTTCCAAAACAACAAATCCTATCATAATCCTATTAAAAATGCGTTTCCTTCATATTTCGGGCATTTTATTGGTGGGTGCTTGTGGCTTAGTTGCCGGCTATTATACCCATCATGGTGATGCTGGTCATGGTGGTTATGGTGGTCAAAGCAAGGAAGTTGGCTACGCGGTAGTTACTGATCATGGTCATGCTGGTGGTCATGGTGGCGGTCATGATGGTGGCCACGGTGGTCATGATGGTGGACATGCTGATGTTCATTATGCTGCTGGTTATTATGGCGGACACGATGTTGCTGATTCTCACTCTATTAGCCACTATGGTGGTCATAGTGATGGTCACTATGGTGGTCATGGTGATGATAGTCATGATTACTACGCTTATCCCAAATATGACTTCAGTTATGGCGTTAAGGATACCAAAAACTGGTGACATCAAAAGTCATTCGGAATCTCGGGATGGTGGTAATGTCAAGGGTAAGTTATTAGCATTATAATTAACTTAAAATAATACAATTCTTTAATAAATTAAATCTACAGGCAGCTATAGCCTTAAGGAAGCTGATGGTACTACCCGCGTTGTAGAATATTCTGCCGATAAACACAAAGGTTTCAATGCTGTTGTTCATACTTTGGGTCATGCTAATGGTGGTCATGATGCTGGTCACTACTATGGTCACGATGATCATTATGGTCATGGTTATGGTCATGGTTATGGTCATGCTTCGAGTTATATTTATGTCCAGAAACAGGAGGGCAAGAAACATTAATGAAAAATCTTAAGGGAATTTAAACTGAAATGATTGTTGTTGTTGTGTTTGATGGTTGTTATTTGTTAATAACTATTATTGTTTTATGCGTGTGTTACGATTAATAATAAATTTAAGTTAAATAAAGTTAATTGTCGGTTTTTATAAATCTCTGTTATAAATCTATAAAACTATTGAAAAGACTTGAAAAGAAGTTTATCTCCGGTATGTTAGTGATTAGTGGTAGAACGGAGGGTACTGACAGATTTACATACATATATATATGCCAAAAAATCGAGATTATGAAACCGATGTCTTCCGTACCAATGTTAGTAGTTTAGACAAATTTGTTCAACAAGATCGGACAAGAACTCTCTGAGTTACACTGGGTCAAATTTAGAGACTTTTGTCAAACTCACTTTTCTGCTTAATCAGAAAATGGACTTAGAATGGACCTGGGAGCAATATATCAACAAAATTCCCGATTTTTTTTCTTTCAGACCAAGACCGATCGAAATATTCTATTCAAAACTAAAATCTGTGCTAAATCCGAAAATGTCTTCAGAATTGAGCTAGGTCCAATATTTAATCCAAAGTTTTGAACAAAAATTTTAGAACAATTTTCCCACGAAATTTTATATTACATATGATTTCTTCCAAATTCAGCGGTTCCTGTCTAGACTACTAAATATAAAAATTAGTCATGACAATAACCATCATATTTTGACAAGATTTAGGAGAATTGTGTGACAAAATGGAATTTTTGGGTAAAATTGTTTCAGATTTTTTTAAGCCTCAAGACACCGATAAAATATCACAAATTGCTTAAAATAAAAGTTTTTCGAGAATTTTGATGAAAGTAAAATCGGTCTGAAATTTTGATGAAATATTGCTCTCAGGTCCACTATGAGTTCATTTTCGGATTCAGCTTAAGTACTAATCCTGAATGTCAAATTTCTGTAGATCTAGGCCTCAAGACCCCGATATAACATCACAAATTGCTTAAAATAAACAATTTTCAGGAATTTTAATGAAACAATGGACCTAGGTTGCTAAACCCGAAAATGGACCTGGCACCAAAATTTCATTAAAATTTCCGTTTTAAGCAATTTCTGCTATTATCTAGGGATCTTGAGGTCGCGGGTGGCTCAAATTTTGTATTCCGAGAATAAGCCCTATCCTGAATCCGAAAATGAATTCAGAATTGTTATAGGTCCATTATGTTATCCAAATTTCTGAAAGAAAATTCAGAACAATTTTCCCACGAAATTTCATTTAACATATAATTTCTTCTCAATTTACCGGTTCTTGTCTTAGTGTATAGGAAATATGGGAAAATTAAGTGAAAAAAATAGAATTTCATGGGAAATAGGTTCAAAATTTTCGTTCAGAAATTTAAATGAAAAATTGGACCTAGCACAATTCTGAAACCATTTTCGGATTCAGTATAGGTTTTAATCTAAAATGCCAAATTCCAGCAGTTTTCGCCCTCAAAATCTCGAAATAATAGAACAATTGGTTCAAGATAAAAAAAATTCGGTCTATTCTGGGTCCATTGTTCAGAAATTTTATTGAAATAATAGAATTAGTACAATTCTGAAACCATTTTCGAAATAAGTATAGGATTTAATCTAAAATGTCAAATCCCAGCAGTTCTAGTAGTCAAAATCCCGAAATAATAGACCGAATGGTTCAAAATAATAAAAATCGCTTTATTCTGGATCCATTTTCGGAAACAGCATGGGCATTTACTAGAAAATTGAGTTTCCAATTACATTCGGCCAGTAGTTTCTGAGATTAAAGCAAGCCCAAAAATAAATGAAAAATTTTGATCTAGTATTTGCTCTAGGTCCAACATTCATCAAAATTTACGATTTTTTATCAGTTCTCGTAGTCAAAATCCCGAAATAATAGACCGAATGGTTCAAAATAAAAAAAATCGGTTTATTCTGGATCCATTTTCGGAAACAGCATGGGCATTTACTAGAAAATTGAGTTTCCAATTACATTCGGCCAGTAGTTTCTGAGATTAAAGCAAGCCCAAAAATAAATGAAAAATTTTGATCTAGTATTGGTCCAACATTCATCAAAATTTACGATTTTTTTAATTTTTTTCAAAACTCGATAAATCCTGGTAAATTCAAACGCTGATTTTGAAAATGGACTCAGAATGGACCTGAAACCAATATTTGATCAAAATTCCCGAAATTTCAATAACTTCCAATAAATAAAAACTAAAATACATACATTTTAAAGCTTTATTAAAGTACTTCAGTTCTAATGTTTCTTCTCTTCCTCTTGTTTCTTAACAATAACATAACTTGTAGCTTTACCATGACCATGATCATAACCATGACCACCATGACCTTCATTATGGGCTGCTTGATGAGCATGACCTAAGGTATGAACGATAGCCTTAAAGCCTTTGTGTTTATCAGCAGAATATTCTACATGACGTGTAGTGCCATCAGCTTCTTTTAAGGTGTAACTACTTATAAATATGCAATAGAAATAAAGTATGTTTTGGAAAAACTTTTTTGCATTAATTTACCTTTAACATTGCCACCATCTCTAGTTTCAGTGTGACTTTTAATATCGCCAGTTTTAGGATCTTTGACACCATAACTAAATTCATATTTAGGATAAGCATGATGATCATGATCGTCATCATGTCCGCCATAGTGGCCATCATCATCATGATCTTTGTAGGCAGCAGCTTTGTCACCTCCCTCATGGCCCCAAGTATGAACAGAGGCATGACCACCACTTTCACCGCCATGACCATGATAATCAGTTTTATGTTCAGTTACTACAGAATAATGAACTGCCACAGCTCCTACTCCACCATGTCCATGATCGTGTCCTAGATCATGTCCTTGTTGATAGTGACCTGCTGCGTTTAAAGCAAAAATTGCTATAGCTGCAACAAACGATGTAAACATGTTCATTTTTTAATTGATTTAATGCAAGTATAATTGTTTTGAACAATGAAAACTTCAACTGTGATCTAATGAGGATCAGTATAGTAATATTTATAGTTGAAAAAATTTCGTTCAAGTAAAAAATCTCTTAATGTTTTGCTAATTACTAGCTGTTTAAGTGAAAGTATTTAAAAATATTGAACTTGAACTTGACTAAAAAGAGGTCATTTATATTTTTTGGCTGTTAAAGATTGTGTGAACTACATTTGCTGGTAATTAGTAGTTAAATCTATTTTAAATTTAAAATTTAGCTGCGAATGCAAAATGAAGATCAATACAAAAATGTTAAACACAACTTACATTTCGAAGTTAAATACGAAGTTATTAATTTTAGATAATTCAGTACTTGATCAAGTTTTCATATAAATAATGCTTCATAATCCAATAGGCATCACAGTTCGACTTTCAATTGTTTAAAACAATTATCCTGACTTTAATACAAAATTCACTAAAATGTATTTTCTGACATATCTAGCCCTATTAGCAGCCATTTTTGGTTTATCAGCTGCTGGTTATATTCCTCTTGATCATAATAACGATCATGGTCATGATGATGGCCATTATTCTGTATTAACTGAACATGATCACAGTGGTGGTAGTAAATATAATGGTGGTCATGCCATTGTGCGTACCTGGAGTCAGGATCATGGTCATGCCGGAGGCGATTATGCTGAACATGATGGTGGTTATAGCGGTGGAGACTATGCTGAACATGATGGCGGTCACTATGTAGGAGGACACCACGATGGACATGATGCTGGCCATGATCATCATCATGCTTATCCCAAATATGAATTTAGCTATGGCGTCAAAGACGCCAAAACCGGTGATATCAAAAGTCAAACTGAGTCCAGAGATGGTGACAATGTTAAAGGTATGTTATTTGAAAATCAGTTTTAAGAAAAATCGTTATCAAATTCCTGATAACTAATTCCAGGCAGCTATACTCTCAAGGAAGCCGATGGTACCACTCGTCATGTAGAATATTCCGCTGATAAACACAAAGGTTTTAATGCGGTTGTTCACACCTTGGGTCATGCTAATGCTGGACATGCTGGAGAATATGGTCATGATGGTCACAGTCATAATTATGGTCATGCTGATGTCCATGGCAAGGCTAGCAGTTATATAATTGTTAAGAAACAAGAGGAAACGAAACATTGAAAAATAGATGTTAATTGTTAAATTCAATAAAATGGCGGAATTTTAAATATTGTTTTATTTAGAATTTTCCAGGGTACATTTCATAATTTGTTCTCAAACTTCCCCCCAGGACAAGTTTCTTTGATGAAAGACATCTTGGTGTATTGCAATCCCGGGGTAAAGGGGTGCTACCAGTACCTCTAGTCTGCCGGGACAATAAACTGGTGATGTCTGAATGTATTCTCGGTCTTTCCTTGGAATGATTTGACCAGAGCATTATCTGGTACTACGGGTGGCCAGTTGCCCGCAGAACTTGTCCTGGTTTGCAGTTGGTTGAAGCTTATTCGGGATCCACATAGTAGTTGTGGTTTAAACCAGAATTGACGGGAAGTGGTTGCTTGGTTAAATATTTGATACATGGTGAAATATAAGTTTTCTAGGTGAGGTGCAAACCACAGGGCAAGGCTGTGCATTTATAAAATTTTGGAATTGAGCTGATAAAGCAAAGATTGGGTATATGATGGAGTGAGATGTACCATTCTGATACTTGTATCTGATGGAAGGAGTTACTCGTGAAATGTTGGTGAAATTGGCGACGATTTTCCTTCATGGTTAAGTGTGTTGGAAACTTGCTCAACTTATCACAGTAGGTCCTTGTGGCCATTCAAATAATTCTGGCCAATTAAATATAGATTTGTGTTTTCTAACTAATTACGTCACCTAGGTGCTGTTGGCGAATCAAGAGAAGTCATCTCAGTAGTGTGGTTGGTCGACTTTAAGAGGTCCAGGAATACACTGGGGTGAGTCTTTGATAACTTTATAACGTTTCCACAAAATCAGTTCCTAAGCTGACTGGTTCATGATTATTCCCTTAGAATCACAAACATTTCCCAAAAATCGAGTTTCGGAAAACTCCAAGGTTAGATTCAGATTCGTAAGTTAAAACTGCACTCGGAAACCGCTATAGTCCATTGTGATTACATTCATCATTAACTATATTGACATAATTGAAGAGGTATGGAACAAGGCTGAGGGCCAAGGAATTCAGATCTCGAGATAATGGATAATATGATAGCAAGAATCCGAATTCACCCCCCAATACTACCCAGTTTTCTAGCAATTTTTTGCCTGAACTCAGAACAATGGACAATGACTACATCTTTCCAGTTCAAAAAGTATCTTGGTAGCTTTTGCATCAAGATATATTTCGAGATAATATCTCGAAATATATCATATTTTATACATTGTATCTGCCCTTTAGGTTAATGCTGGAAGATTGATACAACCGTTCCCATAACGATATGATACCGTATCACTTTCGTCGCTTTTCGAACAGCTGGATATATGAAGGACCATTAAGGTCATGGATGTTAGTCATAAAATCGGCGGTACCAGTGTCAGTATCCATCTTCAATTCATCAATATATACAGCAACCTCCTCAAACTAGGGTTCTATAAATCGACTTTCGAATAATCGAACAATCGACTTTTTGTCGAAGAAAGTCGAAAAGTCGAAGTCAACTATTTTGTTCCAATAAAGTCGATAACTCGACTATCGTCTATGAAGAAAGTCGAAAAGTTGACTTTGTAAATAAACGTCGTACAAGGTCGACTTTGTAAATAAAAGTCGTAGAAAGTCGAAAAGTCGTAGAAAGTCGAAAAGTCGGAAAAAGTTGAAAAAAGTCGAAAAATCGAAAACAGTAGAAAAAAGTAAAAAATAGTCGAAAATTTTAAAAAAGTGGAAAAAAAGGTCAAAAACTCTAAAATAGTCAGAAAAACTCGAAAAAAGTTGAAAGAAGTCGAAAATAGTCAAAAAGTCGAAAAAAAAATGGAAAAGTCAAAAGTCGGAAAAAGTCGACAAGAGTCGAAAAATCGGAAAAAGTCAAAAAGTCGACTATTTATAAAATACTAAAAGTCGAAAAGTCGACTTTTAATTAAATGAAAAAAGTAGAAAAGTCGAAAAATCGAAAAATCGAAAAATCCACTTTTCATAAGATGCAAAAAGTCGACTTAACTAAACTAAATGCAAAAAGTCGACTTTTCGTTTCAACTATAGACAGTTTATCGGCTCTAAGACGATCATCACTTTTCAAAAACTCTGCTCTAGGTGTTAGCTCGAAGTCTAAAACCAGAAACATATCAACCGAAATTCCACTGATAAAGTAGACCTACTTTGAACACAATATATTTATATGTTCAAAAACTCTGTCGTAGGTGTCATACCAACTGAAGTTCCACTAATCAAATATACCTACTTTGAGCACAATTTAGTAGAGATTATCTGGAAAAAAGTTGACTCATAGAATCAATCTTTCTAGCTATCTAGTGCTCTATAGAAGAAAGATATACTATGATACGATATAAGTATAGTATCGCTTGTGGTTTACTGCCCCTGTAATGCCAGATGCTTTGTGGCATATATTTCTATATTTGCTCGTTCTCAAGACCTTCTATCAAACAACGAATACTTAGCCCAATTAGAAACCTAAAGTTATCGCCTTTTAAAAAAAACAGCTCAGTTCCAGCTTGATTTATCCCCAGCCCATTAATCTTTTGCCATTTGGAGAGTTCCTCCAGAGCCGTTTGGAATATATGTAATTTTTAATAATACAGAATATATTTTTTTTATAAAATATTTTATTTAATTATAAATTGTTAAATTGAACTGCACTTTTTTGCAAAAAAAAAACTGAAAATTAATTTCCAGAATAAACATAATTTTCTAAATTATTGCAACTACAAGTGCAATAATAAACATGTTTCAGAAAAAAATTTAATTTAATTATTTCAATATTTTACTAAATACTAAAGTTAGTTACAAATATTAATGATATAGAAATTATAACTTAAATTAATTTCTAACTAATAATTGCGTAATTAATAATCTTTTTGTAAAAATTAAAGCATTTTGAAAAAAAAGAGTAAAATTATTGCATCGTTCGTTTAAGAAAATGTGATCTTTTAAAAGATCATATAAAATTGTGTTATTTATATAAATTCAAAATTGTGTTTTTTTCAGAATTCGTTGTTAATAGGCGAAATAATTAGTAGTAAATTAAGTACAAAAGAAAAACTGTAATAAATTAAACAATAACAAATGATAGTAAAATTGATCAGTAAGAAGAATAAATGTCAAAGTATACGACATGTTGATTCCTGTCTACAACGACGACTCAAGCATGTACGTGAACCAATGTCAAAGGTCAATTCCGGATTACTTATGTACTGATGACTGGGTGTACGACTGCGATTCGAACAACCCAGACCGCTACCCAAACCGCCGCTACTGTTTATATAGAGCGGTGACAGTCGCAAAAGTGTTCCTTGTTGATGATGTGAAAATAGTGGCATAATTGTTGTAGTTGCTGTTGGCTGGTGGGCTAAATGCTGCTGCTGTTGATGTTGTTGTTGTTGCTGATGATGATGATGGTGGTGATGATGTAAATGATGCTGCTGCTGCTGTTGCATAAGCGTGGGACTAAGGGCAGGGCTTGGCAATATTATGGTGCTAATGCTACTTTGACCTCATATGCCCTGCAGAAACCTTCGCAACTCCTCTTCGGTATCGAAAATCATAACAGGGAATGGTGATCCGGGTACAAATTCACCAGCCCATTTAACCTCAACTCTATAGTCACCGGGTTCCGTGGGATCGAACTGTAAAAGAAATTTAAATATTTTTAAACTAAACGATGAAGGAGAACATTTCAGTGAAACAAACCTTGCAGAGTATGGTTCTATCTTTTTGTGATTCACGTTGCATTTCCACACGGAAGGCACCCTTAGGGCCGCGTACACGTACTGTTAGTTGCCCGGCACCAGCACCACGGGTATCGCAAATAAAGCGGGATTGGAATGTGGCCAAAACACCATGTTCTATACCAGGACCATAAACACGAACCTACAATTTGAAAAAATCAGATATATATAGTTTACAAAATGTGAGCTAAATGTTAAAGTAGTCGACATCCTTACCTTACTAGCATCTGGAGCTCCAGCAACCTTTAAAGCAAACGGTGAGCCCGGTACATTTTGTCCACCATACTTAATAGTTAGTAAATGTCTTCCTGGTTCTTGCGGTTTAATGTTCAATGTGAAAGTGGCATCACCATGATCATACAGCTCACAATAAGCCACCTTACGTGGACCAGCACAATGAGCCGTTAACTCACCGGGACCAGCACGTCTGGTATCAATCCAAGATTTAATATCTTTACCCACAATACCATGACGTAAACCTTCGCCCGAACAAATAACCTTGGTAGCATCCATTGATGAGCCCACAGCAACGGTGAGAGGACAACCCTTAACCAAACGGCCATTCCATTTTACGGACAAAGTCAAAGAACCCGAAGAAGATTTTTGTGGTGTATACGAAGCCAACCAGATGGCCTCATTCGGTCTAGGTTGAGCCAAACTTACCGGCACCGAGGTGTTATCTTGATGCACCAAAATAACCTCAGGTCTGCCGGCAGGAGCATCTGTAGCATCTATGGTAAAGTGAGCTGCTTCTCCAGCTTGGGCCGCCGCTAAGCCACGACCTGTCAAAACCACCTTATCGGCAGCCTGTTGACCAGTAACAAAAGCACTTCTGGGACATTGTACTATAGTCAAATTACTCCAGGTCAAATCTAAATCATGTTCACCAGGAGCCAAATTTTCACCGCTAATAAACAAACGTAATTTACCATCGGGCAGTTTATCTACCGGTATCTCTATGCCATCAATAGTACAATTTAATTCACCGGGACCAGCATTTTCTACATCGAAAACAATGCGTGCCGGTAAAATTAAACGACCCTCATGATCCAACAAAGTACCCCAACCTCCTACCGGCGTTACTTTTGAAGACTCTACACACGATATATGCCAGGGAGAACCGGGTAAATTACCTCTATTAGGGCAACTGGCACGTATCTCATAACGTCCCACCGACAAAATGGTATAAGAAATACGCCATTCATTATTACCCAAAGCTTTAATTTTCGGTTCAATACGTTCGCCAAATTCATCGGTGCGTTCTATCTGTACATTCGGCTGTACGGGGCAATAGACAATAAAAGAGGCT